GGGAAAGAGAAAAAGATAAGGTAGACCAAGGAGAAAGAAAGGAGGGGAGAAGACCTAGTCTGATTCTCAGGGTTGCAAATCCTCACTTTGGGTGGTTCATGGTACAATTCAGACATCTATGCATATCAACAAGAAGTAGCAACGTACACTTTGAAGAAAAATCTGTACTTGGATTTTTAGAGTAGACTTGGAGCTTAAGGAAATGCTTAAATAGTGTCCTTTAGATACAATGATAATGTTTCTAATTCATTGTTAAAAGATGCATATTTTGGTTCATTGTTCCAGCAATAAGCATGAATTTTCATACCATTCACATCAACCATCTGGTTCCTCTTATGAAAAATGACCTATATCACCAAAATGGACCACTGAAGTTGGGAATCAGTGTAAATCTATGTAACAGGAATAAAATCAATTGCTTTTCCCAGTGATAAAAGCTAAGATGTTAAAATCTGTACCTGACCGTCTGTTCCAATGGTACCTCCACAGTCCGCCAGAAGTTCTGACATGTCATAGTAGCTGACAAACTCCCACAAGCAGGCCTCCAGGTTTAGGTTTCGGTAAAAGCGTAAGGTACCGGAGCCTCTGATAGATGAGCTGTACTGGTAAGGATACATCTCTCCAATAATTTCTGGATTTTTTGTAGCATCAGTCAAGAAACCATGGTGGGTCTTCACTTCAGTATAATCCAGAAGGTTGGAGCACTTGTGGTTTCCAACTCTTGTGCCATCGGGGCTGAGGGTGAGTTCAAAGTTGGAAAGCTCTCTCGTAGAGATCACAGGCAGCATGCCTATGAGGAGTTTAAATCATTATTACCATTCTTCTGGGTCGCCAAGAGCCTTGAACACTTTATAATTTCTATATCTCTTTAAAAAAGCAAGTGTTAGGAAACATTGCACACCACTGATGTCCTAAGGATCCTGGGGCTCCCCAGGAATATTTCAAGAGATCCATGACATTAAGTCTATTTCATAATGACTCTAAGTTATTATTTGACATATCCTGTCAACAATGTCACTGGAGTTTATCAAAGGCTACAAGGTATGATGACTTGCAATAGGTTGAATAAAGAAACTGTCTTGTATTTATCTCATCTATTAAATGTATCTAACTTTTCAAGTATGCTTGAAGTGTTAGACTTTAAAAGTGTGTAGAAAGTAGAAATAGCTGAAAGGAACAGAAGGACTTTAAGTTAAACACGCAAATTGAACATTTGATTTTAGCTTGGTTATTTAGAAGATTAAGTAAAATAAACTAGGGAACAAGAAGGCCTAAATGCAATACTTCTATGGATTTGCTTACCCATCACTTACCATCTATGTGTGGCATTGTGACAGTGAGCTTGATGAGGTTTGTGTAGTCAGGGTCCTCAGAGCCTGTGTAGCGCAATTTAGCTGAGAATGGCTCAGCTCCCACGACCCCAGGCACACGGGGCTGACAAAGACCTCAAGGAAAAGAGAACATATTTATTCTATGAGGAGACAATGGATAACATGAACATTTTAAAATGTAATGAACATTTTAAAAATAGGTTCTATTAGGGGTGAAAGGGGAAAATATGAACAAATAAAAAAACATTTAATAGACACACAAACAATCATCTGTTGATGATAATGTATATGGTAGGGTGTCTGACTTGACTAATATGCACTGTATTCACACTGGGAAAACCATGTTGTGTACTGTACAATGATTAAATGTAAATATAAAAGCAAATAAATAATTAAGTTCTATTATTTTTTCATAGACTTGATAATGCTCTGTGAACTCGGCATGGCTAAAAGCGTTTATCAAAAGGAAGCAGAAGACTACAGTGCCCAAAGTTACCATGACAGTTCAGCCATCACTTAACATTATGGAGATTGAAAAAAGTTTGAGAAAAAGTAGTCATCGTTCAGTGTGATTTATTAGGTGCTGGTAATTCTAGGTCATGCTTATATTTACAAAATGATTTTAATATAAGGTATAAAAAGATATAGTAAAAATAAGTGCAAGTCAGTAGGAAAAAAGAAAGTGTAGTTAAATTAAGTGAATTTGATTTTTACTTTAGAATAATTTATTTATGATTAGTTATAAAGTATACATTGTTTATAAGTGGGTAAAACTACAATTGCACTCATTTTAAAAACCAAAGCTAGGAAGCCAGCAGGTGGCATAGTGGTTAAGGCGCTGAACTCACATGTGGGCTGCCCATGGTTCGAATTCTGGACCCGGCAGCTTGAAAATCATGCCAGGGGTGTGTGCATGTGTGCCCAACCTTCCAGGAGGAGAGCTGAGAGGAGGGTACAATGTGGCAGTCCTCTCTGGGGGTGATTTCTCACTTTCCCTCTCACTGTCTCTCTATGGAGAGTGCATGTGCCCTGTAGAGAAAACCTTAAAAAAGAAAAAAAAAAAAACAAGAAAAAATGATAAAAAGAGGAAGTCATTGCAGTTCTCAAAAAAGAAGATCAAAAGCTAAACAAAGCTAAAGTCTCCTTAAAATCAAAGAGCAATACGTGCCCAGCAGAATTTTCCTTATATACGTGATTTACAATATGTGTATTACAAATTATAATCCATTTTATCTCTTTCTACTTTTCTACCTCATACCTCTTAATAACTCTCTAGAATTTTGACATGAAACTCTTCCTTCAAGTGTTTCCTTTAAGAAATTCTGATGTTTTCATTTGAACATTATGGAAGAAACAAAGATGCTAGAATATAACTTTAAGAGAACTAGGAAATATATAACTTCCTTTCTATTGGTACAAAACAGAAAATATAGGTACTTGTTAGAATAATGACAAAATCAGAGACAGGCCACAGCATCTGGACTCTTTCCTTAATAAGACAACTCTTTTAAGGCATTGTTCAATTAGTTTTGTACCAGCACCGTAGTTTGGTTAAGGAGAAACTGAAACACCACACATTTTGGTCCTAATGAAAGAGAGTATTTATTATATACAATATCAATAAATATTTGATCCTGAATATATTATGGCGGGAGGTGGTAAATACAATATTGTTTTTTTTGTGCAGGTAATGTATATCTGAATGCTGTAAGCAAATGGAGTTTTAGAAATAGAATCACAAACATAATCTTTTAAAAAATCTACTTGAAAAACTGTGCACATATATCCTATGGAATACTACTCAGCCATAAAAACAAGAATACCCTGGCTTTTGACAGAAAGTGGATGAATATGGAAGATTTACTCCTGAGTGAAGCAAGTCAAGTGAGGATACTACTCAGCCATAAAAACAAGAATACCCTGGCTTTTGACAGAAAGTGGATGAATATGAAAGATTTACTCCTGAGTGAAGCAAGCCAAGTGAGGAGGAGAGACATTGTATGTCTCCACTTAATATATACTGAGTGTGTGCACTCTATGGCCCAAACCTAATGACTAAAGGCTATAGAAGCTAAGTAAATGGTTGTGAACACAAGATACAATGTGGGAAATGGGTGGGTGAAAGAGTAGAGTGTGAAGAAGGACATTAGGGGAAAAATAGAGAGGCAAGGCATTTATGGGACAAAGAAATGGATTATTATCTACTGAAGATAACTTTCTAGTATGGTGAACTAGACTGGTACACATGTTGGAATATTCACTTTTTAAGCTAAGTAACACAATTGAATGTATAAAAGAAATAGAGGGAACCAGCAGTTAGCGTAATGGCTATGTCGCTGGACTCCCACGTAGTCGACTGCGGTTCGTGTCCCGGACCCGGTGGCTTAAAACTCACGCCGGGCACATGTGCGTGCGTGCCCAAGATCCCGAGAGGAGAATGGAGAAGGGATTGTGGCGTGACCATCCCCCCTGGGGGGTGATTTCTCGCTTTCTGTCTCTATGTCTCTCTCTGTCTGTCTGGCGAGCGCACGCACCCTACAGTGAAAATCTCTCCAAAAAAAAAAAAAGAAATAGAAATAAAAAGAAAAAAACACATTACAATTCTACAGAGTGAAAGATTCATTTATAAGATGGATTTCCTGTCTTTTAAATGCTATCTTCACCCACATCCTATTCACTTGCCCCCAGTGTATCCTTGGCTCCAGCCCTAAACACATCTTCCCTTGTAATAACAAGGTATGAGCATTTGCACATACCTTTTTACTGGACTGTCTTTGCCTTTCTGTCCCCATTAAACTTCTACTCACCCAACAACTGGCCGAACTCCTTCTATGGCACATACTCCTCCTGTCCAGATCTGACCCTTATCTACCATTCTGCTTTGCTTCTGATCCTTCTTCTCCCTCTCACAAGCTTCCAAATTCTCTGTTTGTTGATCCCAGAATATCATGTGTTCTCTGATACTTCTATGAGTTATTACTCATATTTTTTCCCCTCTACCATTTTCAAGGTTCAGCTTAAGTATTTCCACTTTGATGAGCCCTTCCTGACCAACTCAGGCACTTCAGTGCCCTATACACACAAAGATCTATGCCATCAACTTTTATCCTCAAGGATAAGGATCTTGTCCTGTTTTCCTTATTGTAAGGATAAAGCACAATGTTTGGAATATAATAGGTGCTCAAAAAGTGTATAATGACTAAATATTTATTTGTAAAAATAGACTTTTATTTTTAAGTATTTATAATATACTGTGAAATACATAGGACATTTGGAAGAATTAATCACCAGAAATTTGACATCAGAAATTCGAGGGACCAGCAGTTAGTGGAATGGCTGTGTTGCTGGATTCCCATGTGGTTGGCGATGGTTCGAGTCCCAGACCCAGTGGTTTAAACTCACGCTGGGTGTGTGTGCATGCATGCCCAAGATCCCGAAAGGAGAATGGAGAAGAAGGGATTGCAGTATGACCACCCCCTGGGGGGTGATTTCTCGCTTTCTATCTCTCTGTCTTTCTGGTGAGCACATGCACCGTATAGGAAAAAACCTCTAAAAAAAAAAAAAGAAAGAAAGAAAGAAAAGAAAAAGAAATATCAGAAATTCCCTGAGATTCCAGAGACTTCATGTGAGCATGGCAATACCTTACCTTCTTCTCTGCTGATGGTTACAATAGGGCTCACGAGCTCCAACCCTTCATTCCCATTGGTGTTCACTGCACGAGCTGCACACTGCACCCTGGAGCCAGGCTGAAAGTATATGGAGTCCAGCGTGATCATCTTGGATGATGTGAAAAAAGTGTCGAAGTCCACTTCTCTCATAGGGCTGGTCACACCGTCAGGGCCAGCAGGTGCACTAATGAGCCATCGGTACTGGGTCAATGTGTCGTTGATGTTCTCACTTGCACATATAGAACCCGTTTTGTCATAATCTGAATATTTGGGGTTGCAAGCCTATGGGAAGCAAATAGTTAAATTAGGACCATAGGATAGAGAAACAGGAATTTTTTTCTTAGTAAATTCTTTTTATTTTTTTGGAGAGTTTTTTTTTTTCTTTCTTTCTTTCTTTCTTTCTTTTTTTTTTTTTTTTTTTTTTTTTTTTTTTCAATATGGAGAGAAACATAGAGACAGAAAGCGAGAAATCACCCCCCAAGGGGGATGGTCACACCACAATCCCTTCTCCTCCATTCTCCTCTCGGGATCTTGGGCACGCATGCACATGCGCCCAGCGTGAGTTTTAAGCCACCAGGTCCGGGACGCGAACTGCGGTTAACTACGTGGGAGTCCAACGACCTAGCCATTATGCTAACTGCTGGTTCCCTCTTATTAAATTCTATCACAGGGTTTTTCTTTTCTTCTTTTTTCTTTATTTTTACTTTTCTCTTTCCTCTTTTTTTCTTTTTTTTTTTTAAGAGCGATTTTTCTATAGTGTGCTTACCCTTGCTGGGAATGCAGAGAGAGACAGAAAGACGGAAAGCGAGAAACCGCCCCCTTGGGGAAGATTGCCACAGTGCAATCCCTTCTCCTCCACTTTCCTCTTGGGACTTTGGGCATGTATTAACACACACCCGGAGTGAATTTGAAACTGCCAGGTGTGGGACTCAAACCACGGTCATCCATGTGGGAGTTCAGCAATATAACCATTATGACATCTCCTGATCTCAATTGTCCATAGTGTTTTTATGGCTTTGTCTTCTCCCATTTCTATGCCGCTCATGCAACTTCCGAATTGGTAATCCCAGTCGTGATAGATTTTATGAAGCTAATCTTGCATCTCAGACAGTTTATTGTCTATTTCTGCCTTTAACTTAATATCTATAATTATTCACATTGTTTCTTGAGTCCCCAGCATTGCAAATTGATCTTTAATCTTTCCCTGTCCCTTTCTCCTCACTCCATCCTTCCTTCGCTTTCTCTGCATTCCATTGGGTCAGTGATCTTGGTTATTCTTCTACTGAATTTTTTTAAAAAAGTTGATTAATTTGTTTCATAAACAAGAGAGAACACTCAACAGAGTCTTGATGCCTCAATCCATCCCCAACCTTAGCCAGCTGTGAACATTAGTTTTCTCAGTACACTACCCTCTGGTTCCATTGAAATGGTTCTTAATTTGGTCCCTTCCTCTTCATTATTAATGCCATCTGGATATTTCAGGGCCTTTCTTCCTATCAGGAGACACACTACTGCTCTAGTACATGCCAACATAACTCTCTGATCATGTTATTTGCTGGGCAAGAACACCCAGCTACCCAATAGACGAAGTAAAAATTCCTTAGTGAGACATTTGGAAATCTCCATAATTTGTCACCAAATTATTATTCCTGCCTTGTCAATCCATTAAACATTTATTGTATACCTATCATATGTAGGTCATTATAGTTGGCTTCTGTGATATAAAATAAGTCAGAGTTATAGCACACAAGGAGCTTAGAATTCAGAGAAAAGAAAAGGCAAATAAAAAAACTAATGCTAGGGACCAGTGGTTGGCGTAATGGCTATGTTGGGGAATCCCATGTGGTTGACCATGGTTTGAGTCCTGGACCTGGTGGCTTAAACTCACGCCAGGTGCATGTATGTGTGTGCCCAGGATCCCGAGAGGAGAATGAAGAAGTGATTGCAGTGTGGCCATCCCTCCTTGGGGGGTGATTTCTCGCTTTCTGTCTCTCTGTCTCTCTCTGTCTTTCTGGCGAGTGCACATGCCCTATAGCAAAAACCTCTAAAAAAAAAAAGAAAAAAAGAAAGTAATGATAATATGCCATCTCTTATGCTGCTTCTCCAGATGTAGCTTGTTTTGCAATAATTTCTTTCTGGAAGGCCTTTTCCTTATCAGACTCATATTCTAAACTATTGAAATGCTACTTGACCATCTCAAGCCTTCTCTCTTTTGGGAGCTGCAGTATTAGCTCCTAATTTTTATCATTCTCTTCATGATGCTCACATCTTGCTGTATGCAAGGTGGTCTACAAAAAGTTCATGCAAATTTTTTTTTATGGCTTAAAACAGTTTTTTTGCACCAAAAATAAATTTGTACTTTAATTCCAATTTTCCAAAATCTTTTTGAGGTCTTCTCATGTTATAGCTAGTGATTCATACATATTTTTCTCTTCCTTATTTGTAAATTCCTTGAGTCTAGAGTTCATACATTATTTATTTTTCTATCAGTGGCAGACTTTGAGATAACACACTATGTACACATCAGTTAATAAACCTTTGCTGGGTGACGGAAGAAAAATGGGAGCTTTATCTGATTAATGTTATATTTTTCTTTACAAAGTTCAAAGCTTAAACGTAGTAGTATTTTCTCACCTTTATTTCTTCATGAGAAAGCCAGTACTATATTGATTAAAGTTTATAATTATTTAAAATAATTCTCTGACAATTTTCCTCAATTTTGTCAATTTCCTACTCACTGTGATACAGATGACAGGGTAGCCAGACACAGGGCCAGCACTCTCTTTAGTTCTGGAAGTGTCATCATACATCAGCAAGGACACAACTTGAGGGACAGAAGGAAAAGTGACATCTGCCATGCTGTTCGTTTCTTCTATATATACTATGGCTTTGGTAGCCTAGAAGGAAAAGATAATTATCACTGATGACTGAAATGTTAGACTTCTGGGACTTCTATAGTACAGGACAACATTCATGATGCCTCCAAACTCATCACCTCATTATGATGAGCATTGTCACACCCAGTGCTTTTCGTGAAGCAACAGGACTAACGTGGTTTGTTGACTTCAAGCCCAGCACCTTATTTGTTGAATCTTATAACTGTAGGGGAGAGAATCTGAGGCTGGGACAGCTAATTCAAAGGCTGGTCAGTGGCTCACAAGATATTTGGGATCTGTTCTTTTTCCCCTCTAGTTGCAATGATAGTAGCTAAATCTGTCTTGGGATTGAGAAGTGGAAGGTCTAGGAGTAAAATTCAATTAATTGGCACTGGGAGGAAAGCTGAAAGATCCTGAAGGAAAGGAGATCACATAGGTGATAGGATGTATGCAGCATGATGATACAGATGCCAGTGATAAGCAAAGTGTTAAATGAGCATGGCCAAACTAGAGGCAGAGAAGTAGTTGAGTTCCAGGTAGAAGAAGAATCTATGTGTATCTGCTTTTGGAGGAGGTAATGAAAACATCTTGCAGTAAACTTGCCCTGGCTCTTGATCAACCTTTCCATATCTGATTCCAAATCTATAGTAAACATACCAAAAGGGGTCTTTAAAAAGTTCATGGAAAATGTGTATTATGAAAGAACTTTGCATAAATTTCGAAACATTTTTGATCAAAATAAATTTGTGCATCAATTCCACTTTTTTATGAGCTTTTCACTCTACATATTTGTAAAAGATGTTTTTATTAATGTGAAATGATCTCCTTTCTTCTCCCTCCCAAAGATTTTTACCTACTACTCCATGAATATAATAGAAGATTCACCTTTATGTGATCAAGACATAAAAATATATATTTGATAAAGTTTTAATTCCAATATTCCTTGAATTTTAAATATGACTTAAAAAAAAAAGTAGGTATGTGTGTGGTCCACTTGTCTCTTCGCCATGTCTTCTTACAAGACATTCAGAATCAAGTGGCTTCTGGCCAAAAAATGGAAGCAAAATTGTCCTATTACCCAGTGGATTAGAATGAAAACTGGTAATAAAATGAGATAAAACTCCAAGAGGAGACACTGGAGAAGAACCAAGCTGGGTCTATGAGGAACTGGACAAGATATGGGCCACATATTTATGCTGTACCAAGGTCACTATGGTCTTGCCACATCAAGCTGAAAATTGTCACCACTGACTGGACACTTGTGTTTACTGGGGAAAAAAATGATGCTTCACTGTGTTTCTAAGTTCTGCATTGGTAGGTTGGTTCACTAATAAATATGTGAGACCTAAAAAAAAAAAAAAAAGTGGGACCAGGAGGTGGTGTAGTGGTTAAGGTGCTGGACTCCGATGTGGTTGGCTGTGGTTAAGGTAGGTGCTGGACTCCGATGTGGTTGGTTGTGGTTTGAGTCCCAGACCCAGCAACTTGAAAGTCACACCGGGTTGTATGCATGCGTGCGTAAAATCCCAAGAAGAAAGTGGAAGAGAAGAGGTTGTGGCATAGCCATCTCTCTGGGGGGTGATTTCTTGGTCTCTCTCTCTCTGTCTTTCTGGTGAGCACATGCCCCTATAGCAAAAAATCTCTCTCAATAAACAAAAACAAAAACAAAACAAAATAGGTACTGTAGCAGAAATACCATCAAGCAGTAAAGATTACAAATGATAATGAGAAAGAAAGAGGAACAGGGAGATCCTACAATTCCAGATATAGAAGGCCCAAGCCAAGCTTCTTTGCTTAAGCTCATCAGCAGAGGCCTGTTCCCAGTCTGCTGTGGGGGAAGTGGGTTGGGAAGGAAGGACTCTCTAGCCCATGAGGTCTACCATTTTACATTCTACCTGTCAGCTCAATCTCCATCCACATTGGTAACATCTAGGTTTAGATATACAAGAACCAAACATCTGAAAATAGGAGGATCTAGAGAAATTCTTTTGCCATAACTCCCTTAGTAATAAAAGGAGAGAAACTACCCTTTGAATACCTAAACCCTAAATTCCTTTGTAGATATACCATACTCCCACCCACAGTAGAAAGGGAAATTGGCACAGAGCTTACACATATAAAGAAGTGCAGGAGCACACAGCTACAGAAACATACTCAAAAGAAGTTGGAATAAGTGAGTATGCCACCAGATGACTGAAAATCAAAGAAAAACCCTAAGAAATAGGAGAAAACCATGAAATATCTACCTCTCAAAGGATTGTAACTCCTCACCAACAGTGGATAAAACACAAGAGACTACAGAAATGTCAGAAAAGGAATTCAGAATGTTCATTGTAATAATACTCAACAAGATGCAAGAGAAAACAGACAACCAAATTTAAGAAATAAGAAAATTCTTCCATGAATTGAAGGAGGAGCTCCATAAAGGAATAGACACACTGATAAAGAATCAAACAGACTTTCTGCAGATAACTAATATAATGCAGGAAATCAAAACCTCCCTTGAAAGTATCAAAAGCAGATTGGACCACAGAGAAAAAAGAATCTCTGACCTTGAAGACAAAGTCTCCAGTTTAGTCCAAGCAATAGAAAAGAATAGTAGAATAACTATTAAACATGAGGACATTATATGAGAAATCCTAGACACCATAATGGCTGAATATCTGCATCATAGGTATTCTAGAAGGTGAAGAGATAGGTAAAGGTACAGGAAATACTGTTCATAACCTATTAACTGAAAACTTTACACATTTAGAGGGGCATGCAGGCATCCCAATCTGGGAGATATAAAGGATACCAGGTAGAGATAAAATAAGTAGATACTTTTCAAGTGTAAAAATCAGACACAGACAAAATTCTAAAAATGGGAAGAGAGTAATGCCAAGTTGCTTACAAGGGTTACTCCATTAGACTAACACTGGATTTCTCAGCTGAAACAATGTAGACAAGGAAATATTAGGAAAACATCTAAAACTCGGAAAGAAAAGCAAGTTCAGCCAAGAGTACTATACCCAGTAAGATTACACTTCAAATGGAAAGGAGAGATTAAATGATTCTCAGATAAGCAAATGCCAAAAGAATTCACCAAAACAAAACTGGCTCTTCAGGAAGCTAAAGAGAGACAAATAGAAATAAGAGAACACAAAAAAGCTAGAAAAAATTTTAAGTCCACACATATTGATAATAACATTGAATGTCAGGACTAAATGCAGATTCAACTATTTTATACACAAGCAAGTTTAAATCCAAATCCACCAATTATTCAGTAGACAGTTGCCTCCACAGGTCTCAACTTCATAAATTTATTATAACCATTACTCATTGTATAAAACTACATAACAAAAAAAGTCAAAATGGTGCAGCAGAGTCTTTCTTTGGAATGAAATTTTTAAAAAAAGCTAAAATCAAGAACTTTGTAAAGCCTATTGATTACTAGCTTTACCATATCTTTACTTTTAAACATATCTTTCTAGTTTTGTTTTATCTTCGCTTTTTCAAGGACTTCTTTCTTTAAGCACAGTACAGTACTACTGTGGTCTTACAAGAACTCACAGTGTGTGAGTAAAAGTGTTATTTTTGTATTGCTTCCTAATGAGCTAATGAGCTACTGTTACGTACAATTTTACCAATTCCTAACTGGACCAATGATTGATACACACAGATTTTTTTTCCAGATAATAAACTCTTATTTCTCACAGTTCTCTACATGAAAATTGACCAATGATTGATACACACAGATTTTTTTTCAGATAATAAACTCTTATTTCTCACTGTTCTCTACATGAAAATTATAATTTTTTTTCCATTGGCTACATAAAATTATCTTTGTTAATTTATGAGATTGTTGCCTGACTTTTAGTCAGTATGTTTTTCTATGCTTAAATAAGCATAGAAAACAAGTTTTAGTAGTTTGGTCATGAAGTTCTGGACATCAAATTCTGCTAAAACTAGAAGGAATAGGTGGCGATTTTGAGGGATAGCAAATGGTTTAATAGGTAAAAAAGTCTGTTTTAATGAGTCATAGAACTGAATTAATGGTCTTATTTTTGAGCTGAGGTGATGCTTTCTCTCTGAAGGTTACTTCCAAGTTTAATCATTACTGATAACATAACTGGGTCCTTGAGTTCACAGAAACATGATTTTATAAAGAAAGAGACAGAAATTTCTTGGCTATGATTTAATCAGAACAAAAATATATTTATGTGGTAAAAGGGATTAAGCATGTCCCCTTTGGGTAAGGTTCGTATAAAGACTCATTTCTTTATTGTATACTATGTGATTACTTATAGCATTTTGTCTGACAAAAGGTTGTCCATAAATTTAAATATACATTAAATATACAAATTACTTACCTGTGTCTCTGCTATCATATTTTCATCTGGCTTTAGGTGAACAGTGAAGGCCTCTCTCATCTCTCTTACACCATCGAAGATTACTTCAATTTTAACAACATGCTGGGTTTCTCCTTCCTTAAACTCAATTTCTACAAAGGCAAAATTATAGATTGAAATGTTTTGCATAATCATATGAGACGTTTTGGTCAAGCTTTTTTGACTGTGGCCTACAATGAGAAATACATTTTGCACTGCAGTCTAGTTCATGTGTCTGTAAAATGGAATCAGAATTTTATAAATATCACTTCTTTTTTTTTAAGTTCATTTATTTTTGTTTATTTATTTATTTATTTATTTTGGAGAGGTTTTTTTTTTTTGCTATAGGGCGTGTGCGCTCTCCAGACAGACAGAGACAGAGAGACAGACAGCGAGAAATCACCCCCTAGGGGGGATGGTCACACCACAATCCCTTCTCCTCCATTCTCCTCTCGGGATCTTGGGCACGCACGCACACAGGCCCGGCGTGAGTTTTAAGCCACCGGGTCCGGGACGTGAATCGTGGTTGACTACGTGGGAGTCCAGCAACATAGCCATTATGCTAACTGCTGGTTCCCTAAGTTCATTTATTTTTTTCAAGAGAGATAAAGATACAAGGTGAACTCTGGCCTCAGCCAGGCAGGATCATGATTGTGCATGAGCCTGGCATATTTAAGAAGATCATGAGATGAAAATGTGGACCTTCCTGTGTGAATTGCAATGTTGTGTTACCATTGAGCCATTGTGGCTGGTTCCACTAATCTTTAACAAACACATTGCACTCTGATATTTTCTGTTCTATTTCATCTATTTTATCTAAAGAAAATTCTAACAACAATATATAAATTTATAATTTAAAAAAAGTACTGAGTTATGGCATAGACAATCAAATTTTAATACTGACTTTCATACCCTTGAATTTCTAAACCAATAGAAATGAAGTCAAATGAATATGATTGCATGTATTACATAATCAGAAATGGTCTATATACATGTACATACTATGGATATAAAATTATTGAGTTTTTATACAATATCAAATCATATACATTGAAAAGACCTATTTTTGTTGTTCTGTCCTTGAAAATGTAGAAGAGTTATTTTAGAAAAATGTTAGTGAGTTTTACCCATTTCTTCCCTTTTTCACTAAAAAGAATTGCTTCATTATCAGGAAAATTAAACCAATTACCTGAATCCTTATCTGAACCATTCATTTCTAAATTATTAAAATGTTAAGGGCCAGCAGGTGGCATAGCAGTTAAAGTGCTGGACTTCCACATGGCTGGCGGTGGTTTGAGTTTCAGACCTAGCAGCTTCACAATTGTTCTGGGCACATGTGTATGCATGCCCAAAATCCTGAGAGGAGAATGGAGGAGTAGGGATTGTGGCATGGCCATTCTCCCAGGTGATTTTTCACTTTCCCTCTCTCTGTCTTTCTCTGTCTCTCTCCAGTGAGTGCAGGCACCTTATGGCAAAAACTCTTAAAAAAAAGATAGAAGGACTTGCAGTTGGTGAAAAGGCTATCTTGTTGGACTCCCAGTGGCTTAAACTCACGCCAGGCATGTGAGTGTGCATACCCAAGATCCCAGGAGAAGAAGGGATTGTGGTGTGGTCATCCCCTACTGGGGGGTGATTTCTTACTTTCTGTCTCTGTCTGTCTCTGTCTATCTGGTGAGCACATGTGTCCTATAGTAAAAATCTCTACCAAAAAAGTAAAAAAAAAAGAGAGAAATAATTGGATATTATTGAAAATATAAAGAATATAGAGTAGGATTATTCCAATTAGAAAAGAGAAGATAACCCATGCTGCTTTCTGATGTAACTGCAGTTCAATCATAGTAATTACAAATTATAAATTCTTTAGAATCTGGTACAAGAAAATGCATCTCAAGTAATTTTATTTTTCTTCAGCAGTATTTTAAAATTATTGACTACAACTATTTTTTTCTTTAAAGCTGAGTTAGTAAGTCAGACCTATCTTTAAAATTAGTTACATGTGTTTCCAGATCCAGCCATTTTCCCCATTAGCCTTAGTGTATTCTGTGAGTCCATCAGTCCAGAACTCTCATACCCTATGAGAACTTATTGTCCTTATTCCAGAGGATAAAAATAGTGGATCATTTCTCAACTACTAAGTTGTTAGGTTTGACCTATGTACTGTGACATTAAGACACTAATTTTTAGCACTTAAAAAGACGGGAACTTAGGGGCCAGCAGTGGTTACATTGCTGGACTCACACGTGGCTGACCACAGTTTGAGACTCGGGCCTGTGGCTTGAAGCTCATGCTGGGCACTTGTGCATGTGTGCCAAAGATCCTGGGAGGAGAATAGAGAAGGGATTGCTGTGTGGCCATCTCCCCTGGGGGAAGGGGTGACTTCTCACTTTCCCTATCACTGTCTCTGTTTCTGTCTCTCTTTCTCTCCAGTGAGCACATGTGCCCTAAGGCAAAAATCCCTTAAAAAAATCTATGGGTATATAGATATATATTTATTATTTGTATATGGGAATTTCATAGGAAAATAGAGTTTTGAGATCTTATGCATCTCTCTGCTCTCCAGTAGTAAACTAGTTAGAATAGTTTTGTTTTTTTTTTCCAACAGAGAAATGACTTTTTGGTTCAATAACATTGTAATCATTCATTTTACCCCCTCACATTTCCTTTGCTTCATTTATTTCTATTGCTTTTCTTAGTCCTATAAATATTTATGTTTTTGTTCCTCTGAGTTATATGAACCACATTTCAAAGAAGTTAAAAACTTACTCATTTATTTTAAATATTTAAATTTTTGTTTTCAATAATACATTTACTAGCCAAATTTTTTTAGTCACATTTGTCTTTAATCTAGCACTTTAGATTTTCTTAGCACACACACCAAAAAACTTTTAGTCTTTATTTAATTTTTTTTATTCGCAAAGAACTGATCTTAGTGTGGACCATAAAAGGAGAAATTACAATATGTTTCAGAAAAAAATTTCTTAAATTTTTATTATAAACATTATAAAAAGCATTATGACATTTATGGGATAAAAGAAACACACAGGTGGATTTAATATTGTTTAACTTTGTTCTGACTTCATCTGTTAGACTACTACATAGCTATAACTTTATTTCTGTTTTAGCAAAAAGAACAATTTTTTTGAGATGTTTTTGCTATAGGGCGCATGCACTAGCCAGAAAAACAAGAGACAGAGAGACAGAAAGTGAGAAATCATCCCCCCCCCCCAGGGGAGGATGGCCACACCACAATCCCTTCTCCTCCATTCTCCTCTTGGGATCTTGGGCACACATGCACACATGCCTGGCGCGAGTTTAAGCCACCGGGTCCGGGACTCGAACCGTGGTCGACTACATGGGAATCCAGCGACATAGCCATTATGCTAACTGCTGGTCCCGAGAATAATTTTATTTCTAAGAAGAACAATTTCTGTTCGAGGTCATATAACCAATATTTCAAAGGTTTTCTTTCATGTAAAATTTGCTAAGTATAGAAAGACTTAATTTAGATTCTATAGTTCAGTAGCCAATCCATTTTTTTTTTTCTTCTTCTGGATTATGTTATTTATTTCAAATACTGGGTCATCAGAAAAGCCATGATGCATTTTTGCTAGAATCAACTTCACTGCATTCTTTACACCAAATGTAGTCTGAGGATACCTGTAAAGCTCTATAGGGTTTTATCAAATTTGTACCATATAGGCAAAGGAAATATGAGATTTCTTATACTTTTTATAGATGATGCCATTTTTCCGATTGCCTCATTACCTTTGTTACTGATTGACTAATACCCATCAGTTGTTTTCTAAATTTTCTTAGCAAGTTAGAAGATCAAGATGAATGCCCGAAGTGCTATGATTACCAAGAACTAGTGATTGTTGATAGTGAGAAGTAGAAAAGTAGCAGATCCAAATATTTGGTAAAATTAGTTTTGGACATACATTTGTGTTTGTTCCATCAGCAAGTAATTCAGAGAGAGAGAAAGTGAGAGGGAACTGATTGAACTACTCATCAAAGTAAATGGCAAAATGGTCCCAAAACCTGCAGAAGGATGAACTGCATCCAGATGAGGCTCCTACATGACAGAGAATTCATGGTCTCTGTCGTCCTTATTTCACCTCTGCATTTGCGTGCCTCTGTTCACACAAACATTTTCCATCCTTGGTAATAGCTAGTTGGTGTTCTCTAAACTAAATAGATTATCGTAGTAGTTATCATATACGTTTTCAATGCAATAGAAAATTACAGAATAATTAACATTTAATATCCGATTAGTGTAACGAGGTTAAAACCAGTGGAAAGTTGAAGACTCAAAATAGAAAGCCATCTAGTGCATCTACTCAGAAATTCTCTGATTTCTAACACTTCTACCCTCTGAATCAATAAGGAAAGTTCTGGATGTATATGCCAATGACTTTGTTTTCCTAAAGGAGATGAAAAAAAAGTGTTTATCTTTGTTTCAATGGGATGTTTCTTTTCTGTTTCTCAGGGGTACCAGCACTAACACTCAGTGTTGGCATGATCCAGCTGGGGCCAGGCCGTGGGGGTCCCATACCTTCTGACACGGGGTGATAGTCTTCTCCAGAGGTGGCTGAGCCATCCTTGGTGTGGACTCTCACAATGGAAACCTTCGAAGTATCTCCTTGGCGAATCACTGGAATTGTTACCACTACTAACTCTCCTGGTTCTTTGGGTTCGGTGACACTAAATTTGGTTTCTCCAAATTTAATAACAGTTTCTAAAATTGTGGGAAACACAGAAAAACAAAATTATTAGTAATAGGAATGTTTTTTCCTCTTTTCTAACTTTTCTTTTCATGTGAGAGGAGCTTAATTAGTTTAGACTCCTGGCTTCTCTCTGACTCCTCACTCAGTATTATTGGTGGGTGAAGAGGGAGAAGTGATACACGATGTCTAGCTCAGTACTAGGAATTAACCAGTTCCTGGAGAGTATGCGTCCTGGCCTATTTCTAAATGACATATATGATACAGGAGCAAGCCACCGAAAGGTGGAACGGACAGAGGAATCGTTGGTCTAGGACTACCTGTACCTAAAGGTAAATGTGGAGGAGAAGTCAGTAATAAATATGTGGTATTTGGTATTTAGATATAAGCCATATTCCCCAACATCAGCTCTAACAGTTTTAATGGTTGATTTTGCTCTCTAATTATGTTAGTCTTTTTCCTATTTCTCCATTGCTTTACAGCCTTAATCAGAAAGAGAGTTTTCTGAGTTGCCTAAAACCTTAACATGGATGGATTTCAGTTCCCAATTTGGAGGTGAGCACAACAAACAACTTCTTACTATCAGCATCATCTTGGATCCTTATCAGAGTTTCATTTTGTTCGCCAACTGCTGCTCCAAAGGGAGAGTTGCTGTGTGGAGTGCCGAGTACCAGGCGGAGCTCCTCCACCTCTTCATAGAGAGTGTCGTCCATCAGCTGGAGGATGCAAGGCTTTTCCGTCTCACCTGGAACAAGAGGGACAGCAGGTCAATCACATCGCACGGGCCAAAAAAGGAACTTAAGTACCACGAGGGCAAAGATGTTGCTTTTTTCCCCCTCTGCTGTATTAATATAATACGGAAAATAGTGTTCTATATGGAATGAGTTGTTTTTTTTTTTAAGGAACTATTCTATTTAAGTTTATTTATTTATTTATTTTATTTCACCAGAGAGGGACAGAGAAAGAGAGAGTGAGAGAGAGAGAGAGAGAGAGAGAGAAAGAAAGAAAGAGAAAGGAAAAGAGAGAAAGCAATTGCAGTTGGCCAAGTGGGAATCCAGCACCTTTAACCACCATACCCCCCCAATCCCCCGTCCTGCCTCAATAATCTCTTTTTTTTTTTTTTTTTTTTTTGCTATAGAGTGTGTGCACTAGCTAGAAAGAGAGGCAGAGAGACAGAAAGGGAAAATCACTTCCCCAGGGGGGATGATCACACTGCAATCCCTTCTCCTCCATTCTCCTCTCAAGATCTTGGGTACGCACACACGTGCTCTGTGTGAGTTTAAGCCACCAGGTCCAGGACTCGAACCGCGGTTGACTACATGGGAATCCAGTGACATAGCCATTATGCCAACTGCTGGTCCCCCCCCAATAAGCTCTTTAAAAATATTTGCTGAATATTTGTACAATGACAGGCCCTTATTTGTACAAAGAATTTTTTTAAAGTTCTGTGTTTAAGTCCTGTCAATCTGCTTTAGAAAACAGAAAAATAGCAAATGCCAATTTTGCTTATGAATTTCTATTATTCCAATTAGAAAGCAAAGTTAGTAACCTTGTACTGGTTGATCATTGTTAATCTGATCACAATACAAGTTTCTAGTATTATTAATGTTTGACTTTATTGAACAAATCATTGAGCCAAGAATAATTGGGTCCTTGCCTCTAAAGAATGGGACTGATATTATATTCTGAACTTCCTCTTATCTCATTAATGCTTTCTTTAAAGCATTTTTAATGACTGTAAAATATCCTATCATGTACAAGGAATCTTCTAGAAAGCTCATAGAAAATGCATATTCTGAAGAAATTCTTCATAGATTTCAAAAATTGTTTCACCAAAATAAACTTGTACTTTAATTCTATTATTTCCTATGTACTTTTTGAAGTTCCTTCACAGATTTTTAAATAAATAATTTCTAATCATTGAATATTTAACTTGTTTTTAATATTACTAATAATATTAATATAAGTAATTATGATAAATATCCATGTAATAAAATCCTTCTGCACCTTTAGGATGCCTTTTTTATAGGATATATTTTTATAAGTATAGTTGTTGAATCAAAGTAATCTATTCTATATAGATACATAGAATCACAATATATATAAAAATATATATAAATTATATATATTATAATTATATATATATACAAATATATATGTATGTATATATACACATACACACACACACACACACAACACTTTTTTTTTTTAGAGAGATTTTTGCTATAGGGCAAATGCACTTGCTGTAAAGACAGAGCAAGACAGAGAGACAGAAAGTGAGAAATCACTTCCCGGGGGGGAATGGCCATGCAGCAATCCTTTCTCCTCCATTCTTCTCTTGGGATCTTGGGCACATATGTACATGTGCCCTGTGTGAGTTTAAGCTACTACGTCCCGGACTCAAACTGTGGTTGACTATGTGGGAGTCCAGAGAAGTAATTACGCCATCTGTTACTCCCAGTAATAAAACTTTTTAAGGCAATGGATCCATATTACAAAGGTGGGATTGATTTTATTTGATTTAAACATTGTTTGGTTCCCAGAATAGTGAAACCTTTACATTTGATATACTTCTGTACACTAAGTTCTGAATAAATGATATAGCACATCACCAGAAATCAATAAACTAATACAGAAACCAAAAGAACATCCAGCCAGCCTGTTAAAATCTACCTTATCTTACTATCATTTAGTATATGTAAAATCAAGTCATAAGCTTGTTGAAATCAAGTTCCTTGATTTTAACTAGGATATATTTTTCAACAAAAACCTGTCTTTCTCAAATTTTATGTAACAATTTCAAATTCAGATTTACCAGGGAGGAAAGTGATGATGGAGATATCAGTGTTGGGGCGTTCTTCAAAGTCCATCATGACCTGCGCAGATCCCTGACGTGTGTAGCATCTCACCGAAGACCTGTACTGGACATCCCCACTTCTGTGGATCATTGCAATTATCTGCCCACCATTTTCACTGCCAGTGTACACTCGTTCTTTGAACTGCATCTTAGGCACTGCAAAAACAAATATACTCATGGATCAACGTGAGCAGAAACTTCCTTAAGAAAAATGGTATTTCAGAAGATGAGGTTTTTCAGAAGAGTAACAGAAAAGAAGTCAGAAGAATCGGATCCCAGACCCTACTCAGTCACTTGCCAATGTTTAGACCTAGAGCAAATCACTTAACTTGAAGAGTTTTGATTGCCTCACTTTTGAAATTTTGCTCTGCTTATTTTGTGGAGTAATGATATGCAATGAAATGTTAAAAAGCAAGATAGGGTCATAAGTGTTAAGATGTTTTTATCTCTCTATATTAGTCATGAGCCTTTGAGAATTTCTTGGTATGGAGAATACTGTTATGTACATAATTATAAGCACAGTTTACTCAGCCTACATTGAGAAAATTGACTGTATGTGTGTGTGTACATAACTTAAAGGTGAGACTTACTCTGGATCAATTAAATATAGGTCTTATTGGTTAGATTATATCTAATAAGGTTAGATTATAGATTAGATATAGATTATATTAATCTATAGGTTAGATTCCTCCAGTTACCATCATGGTGGGGATTGTTCAGAATTCCTTCATGATGACATGTCAGAGAGTTCTGCTATGTGTCCAGCAACTGACTGTCTCAGAACAAAGTTTTCTGCACCTTATTAGAGAAATTTCAGGAGTGCCAGTTGAAGGAGATGACAAAAAGTGTCTTGTGTTGAGAAGTGGAAAAAGACAATGCTCAAGGATCTATGCAATTCCATATGGTTCCAACCATCAGTGGTAAAAGAATTTTTGAGACAACCAAGATTCTGATGATAATACCATTTTTTATCTTTAAAATTTAACAGGAAGATGAAAAATTTTCTTCTGAGGGTGTCTATGCTATCAAAATGATCAAGAGGAGAAAGGAAGATGTGATCAGCTAGTATTGGTATATGTAAATCTGTCACTCCCCACATTTCATCTGTTGAAATAACAATTCCAAATAATTGAGGATGTGACCTTATTGGTAGATAGGATCTTCATAGAAGTAATCAAGTTAAAATGAGATCATTAGGGTGGGTCATGATCCCACATGACCAACATGTTCATAAAAAGGGGTATATGGGATGCTGAGACATATGAGAGAAAAGATGATGAGAAGAGATGTAGAGACAAGATGGCCACCTACAAGTCAAGAAGAAGGGCTTTAATATACTCCTCTCAGAAGAAACCAACCCTCCCAACACCTTAATTTTTGGACTTTAGGACAATAACTGTGAGAAAAATTATTGTTAAGATATCCAGTCTATAGAATTTTGTTATGGCAGTTCTTGCAAGTGAATATAGGCATATATAGTTTATATCTCTACTTAATCATTTACATAAACTCTGATTATTTCACTCAACATTGTAAAGTTATCAGACACTCACAATCAGAGACAGAGTCATTTATGGACACTGTTGCTTTGCTGGGCTCTCCGAGGGCTGCATTCATAGGCATACGAAGGACCAATTCAAATTTCTCAATTCCCTCCAGCACTGGTTGTCCAAGGTCATCAAGGATAGTAACACGAACAGTCTGCATGTTGACTCCAGGTGCAAAATCTAAATTACGACTGATTCCCACATAGTCTGTTCCAGCTATGACAGTAACAGGAGGATTGATTATTCAGTAAGGGACTGAATAAATAAAAATAAATAAATAAAATAAATTATGCAGAGGTATTTATAACTTTTAAGATAAAGATCAGCACAGCACTGCAGGAAAGTACATTTAAGGAAAATGTGAAAGATATTAATCAACACATGATTATTGAGGTGGTAGATCAGGTTCTGAACTTTATGTCTAATGGTTAGACTTTGGATCATCTATGTTACTTTTTATAGTTCCTGTATCTTTATTTTGGACTTCTGTAACAGAGCTAATAAAAATTGGGTTTAAAATATCAGAATATCAATCAAATATATGATATCATAAATTATGCATGGAAATATGTACATTTAAAATGTTGTCAACATTAATTCAATGTCTATATTTCTTTTCTGGAGTTACTATAGAACATCTCCTGAGGGCCAGTAGGTGGTGTGGTGGTTAGGATGCTGGATTCCCACAGGCTGACCACAGTTTGAATCCTGGACCTGGTGGCTTGCTTTCCCATTTTCCCTCTCTCTTTGGTCAAGTTAAAATAATAATAATAATAATAATAATAATAATAATAATAATAATAAAAAATAAATCTTTTCTACTTATATGGTTGCTTATTGGCTAAAACAACATATTAAGCTTCTGTCCCACAGCTATACCCACTTCTTTTGAAAAGGCACATTTGATCTTTGAATTAATATTTTTTAGACCATGAGGTACATATCTGCTATTGATACCTCTACTTATATCTAAAGCAGTTAAGAACAAAAGTGTCCTTCAATCTTTTGCTACACCCTAACTGGGAGCGGGAGGATAGTGCAATATTATTGCTTCTTTCTTCATTTTCATACCTTTTGCTCCTATGATTCCCATTTGTATTTATCTATCAATATGTAATGATGTCTGAACAGTTTTATTAAACATTAGAGACATTTAATTTGTCATATATATATATATCTTTTTTATATTTTATATACATATATATCTTTTTTATAGTTTCCTTCTTTATTCTCTTTATTTTCATTGTTTTCTGCCTCTCTCCATCTCTAATTTGAATATTTCTCTTAAAAATGACTAATTAAGGGGGTCATCAGGTGGTGTGGTGGTTTAGGGTGCTGGACTCCCACATGACTGACCATGGTTTGAGTCCTGGACCTGGCAGTTTGCTCTCTCACTTTCTCGCTCTCTCATTCTGTTCCTCTTTGATTAAATTAAAATAAATAAAGTTAAATAAAATAACTCTTAAAAATTACTAATTCAGGGGACCAGCAGTTAGAATAATGGCTGTGTCGCTGGACTCCCCCGTAGTCGACCGCGGTTTGCGTCCCGGATCCGGTGGCTTAAAACTCACGCCAGGCAAGTGTGCGTGCATGCCCAAGATCCTGGGAGGAGAATGGAGGAGAAGGGATTGATGCATGGCCATCCCCCCTGGGGGGTGATTTCTCACTTTCTGTCTCTCTGTCTCTCTCTGTCTGTCTGGCAAGTGCATGCGCCCTATAGCAAAAAGAAAAATCTCTCCCCCCCAAAAAAAATTTAATAATTCAGGTAAACAAATGCTTACTTGGCAGCTATTGTATGCAAAACATAATGCTAATTCCACTATATTAAAAAAATTAAGAGCCAGCCAGTGGAGTGGTGGTTAAGGTGGCTGGATCATACATGAACAACTGTGTGGTTTGAATTTTGACTTGATGACTTGCACACATGCCAGGCACATGTGCATGTATGCCCAAAATCCCAAAAGGAGAAATGGAGAAGAGATTGCGGTGTGACCATCCCCTAGTGGAGTAACATTCTCACTTTGTCTGTTTCCTTCTGTCTCTCTCTGATAAGCACATATACCCTTTAGCAAATAAAAAAACATTAAAAGTTAA